AGAGTCTTGAAGATTTTAATGCCAAATGTGAGTCACCCTGCAGCCTGGTCTGGCCCTTACCAGAACTCATCAGTTTTCCCAGGGTGCCTGGGCTTGGATCTGATCTTCACTGGAACTTGTTTCGGTATATGGAGCAATGTTAACTGCAGAGAAAACCACATCTGGAGTGTGGTCTGGATGTGTGTATCACACTTTGGAGGTTGGCCAGTCAACTTGTTCGTGTGTTCTGGTGACACTAGGGGCCATTAAATGAATGATGTTTGTACTGCACCAGGGCACTCTTGATCTACCAGTCTCTGATGATTTTCACTTGAAAACAGTAGACATAGGCTGGAAGAATTCATTCATCTGTGGTCTGACCATTGTGGTTGACTCTTTGCATGTTCTTTGGTAGCGTAAAACAAATACAGCGTGGACGGGCCTCAAACCAATCTGTACAGTGTCAGCTTCAGATCAAAAGAAGATCCAAGAATCTTTGGCATGTCACGATGCATATTACGCTAGAACCACCCAACACAGCTGGCCAACTTCACTCTGTGATTACATGATAACGATCTCAGAGCTGATCCAGTACAGCACCCCACAGCAAGATGTAAACACTTACCCAGTGAACAAAGGTTCATTGTACCAATACAAGTCCATGTGTAGAGTGTTAAACAGTATGCTACAAGCAATACACAAGAAAACAACACCATCTGTATCAGCAACCTGAGACCGTCACAGGCAACCAAATCAGTTCATCGTGAATGCCACCAGTAAAGGTAATATGTCCCTGCTCACGCAACAGATGTTGAATATATCACATGTGACATCATGGTCCCTACAGTATGAGTGGGTTGGAAAGGGAGAGTGGGTGGTCTATAGTCTATACAGTTTACATGTACATATGTTGAAAATGGAAATCACCTTTCTCTATGCAGAAGTGCCAGCAGCTCAAAGTAATAACTTGCCCATTATGCCAGAATCTGATCAATGTAAATAAACTTCTTTATGCCTGTCACTGTTTTTCTATACTCCAGTAAAATTAACTGGTTGTGGCAACACAGCATTTATAAAACTGTTGGTCTGGTTTACTTCACCAAAACACTTGTTTCACTTGGCTGTTAAGGTCCAGTGTGTAACACTCAGGGTGATCTATTAGCATTAATGGAATATAATATTCATAGGTATGTTGTCATTAGTGTATAATCGCATGAAAATTTTAATATTTTTGTTTTTGTTACCTTAGAATGAGCTGTTTTTATCTACAGAGGCCGCTGACTTTAGATTGGGCCTTTCATGAGTTTTGAAAGCTTCTCCTACACACTTGAAAGGCTGAGTTGTATTCAGATGGTTGCAATCTGCAACTTCACTGGTAGATGCAACTAAATCGTACACACTGGTCCTTTAAATACTGACAGAAAGTATTTCCTCCTGTGCTTAATATTGAAGCACATCTTGGTGTACTTTCTGGTGTCACCCTGGCTTATGTGAGAAGAACACACACAAACAGAGAAAATGTCTTGTTTTATCTCGCTTATTTCAGCAGATTCACCAAATAAGTCTAAAATTAAGTTTTAGAGCAACGCTGTTGTCTTTGGGACCAGGATTATATTGGAACATTGAAGCTGACTTGAGTTGCAAGGCTGGTCTTAAACTGATTGCTGAACTGGGGAAACTCAGTCATTAAGTTTTAGAGCAGAGAAGTAATAAGTATGTTAGTAAATAAAGCCTTCAGTGTCTCTGATTTTAATAAACTTCTACCTCAGTGAGTTGATATGGTTTCTGGCGATGACCTCAAAAGTTGTCTTTACAGACTTAATTTCCCTCCTACCGAAGCCAAATGTACTTGAAAGGTTGAAATGGATTATATTGTGATGCGCTGCCAACTGTGCCTGCAGATGCAGAGCCATTAAAGCAAGGGTCTTTTGTAATCCTTGGTTGTCTCCAAGAGAGAATTTAGGACGCCTGCATGTTGTGGCATGTTGGGAAATGTAATGTGAAAAAGACACAAAGAAGGTCCAAATTCTCGGCAACAAATCACTCTCTTGATTTCAATGTTATATACACACATACATAATCAGTGGCTTGGATTGACCGGGGAATGGTGAAAGAACAACCTTGATGTTACTAGCGCTTCTCTGCTAGCTCCTAGACACATTTATATATGTGCTAAACTGATCTGTGAGCCTAGATACTGCTACTTCTTTATGTATAAAGCTAGTAACACCGCCACTGTCATGAGGTACCACTAATTTTTAAAAAAAAAAAAGCTACTGTGAGATGAGTTCTGTTTCTGTCTACAGTTAACCTAATAACTTCAATCTGAGGTGAAACCTGATTTAATACATTTTTCAATGGTGATCAGAGTCACACTTGTTGACTGATACTTTGTCAAGCCATCACAGCAACATAATTGTTATAAAGGACTTACAGTTCATAGTTTAATTAAAAACAGTGAGTTCTCTGTGACCTCTCATCATCCTTCACCAAAGTCCATGTTTAATCTCAGCCTTTTTGGCAAAAACACGATTCAACTCGGCCCAAAGGAGGAGTACCAGACATGAGCTAAAATAGACATTTAGACTCACAAATAAATGGAGGAAAACACTACTCTCATCCAGAATACACTTTTGCTTCCCAAACAGACGAGTCAGCTGGGACTTTTGGTCTTAAATCAAACATGGACAGAATAGTACCATGCAGGATACAGCATTAGGTCAGTGTCCTCCTGATGTTTGGATTGAAACTAATGATTTACTGTAATCATAAGAGCTGAAAGCACTTCAAATAGTTCCTTGTTGTTGACTGTAATAATTTTTTGGACTCCCTCAGTGTGGTTTTGTCATGTATCTGATGAGTTCCCTGAGAAAAACAGATGTTTTACTCGTTGAATATCATCATTCCAGTATGTATGATATAGGAACATATAAGTAGTTCTAAGTCACCATTGGCTATGAATGGCGTGGTAAGACACACTAGCACAATGGGTGTGCCTTGAAGAAAACCAAAGCAAAAAAAAAAAAGGAAATAGTTTAATAAAATCTAAACGATTCAGTGTATATAAACAAACCTGCTGCGCTACGTTAATAACCAAGTCGGCCAGCTCATCAAATTGACATGCTGGTGAACATTTGTTTACAGTACATTCAGTTATGTGCCGGAGCCTATGTGTGCCGGACTACAAGAACTTTTTGAGAGTAATAATTTATTAAGCTGGTGTCTAACATAGTCTAGTCAATTTCTCCTTGTATTTTCCACAATTTAGATTCAGTCTAATAATAATTGGCTTGGCATTGTTTATTACACTACCTCAGTGTACGGCAGAAACAAAGAGAGTGTAATGAGAAAATTAGTTGCGTGATAAATTACAACAGAAACATATTTGCTCTCAGCTGCACAGACTGGTGAGAAGATGCATCAAGTAGAAATTGTTTCCACTTGAGTGAAAAATGCTTTATCTGTAGTTAAATGACTCTGCTTCATAATTCAAGCAAAAATATGCTTTGCATTGAGACTGAACAAACCTTAAACAGCTGATACTGTTAGGACGCCTGACCTAACTTAAAGGAAATCAGCATGAGCGGAATATGAACACTAATGGTGAACGTCACTACTATGAAGGATACTGTGTGTCTTGGAAAGCAGAACCCATTAGCATGCGTGCAACAGCCCAGTCTGTCAGGTTTGTGTCTGAGAGAGTAATGACTTTGGCTGCAGCTCTTGCCAGTAAAAAAGTACCTCTGCTCAACTTCTTCTACTTGAAATCCCCAAAATGTGTCCCAGAGCTGAACAAAAAGATGGACAATGACAGCCTTGTCAGTGGTGAGGTGTTTTCTATGAAATCGCTAGACATGTTAAGCCAAGATGAATCTGCACACAGGTGTCTGCACAGGATGTGTCCTGTTAGCGATAAAGCTCTGGTGCCAATCTCCTATCGCCACAAGATCTGACAGCTGTTTACAAAGTTGATTGAAGTGTCTTTTTGTAAATAAAGTCTCAAAACATACACTAGAAAATACACTGAGGCTTTTTTTTAGCAGTTGTTTGTTTCACACCTTTCTTTTTTTTTGCTCTACCAAACAGAAATAAAGGTCCGCTAGCCTGTGTTGGTCTGATGATACGATACAGTTGACCACTGCTGTACAGGTACTGTATTATAAGAGTTCTGGCTTTGTAAACCAATTAAAGAAATACTAAAGCCATATTCAGGATTTGGTGATCTCTACTCTGAGATTCCTGCTAAAAGCACATTGGTAGGACTGCTTATACTTCAATTATTGACGGGGGTCGAGTCTATGAGCTTCTTTTCACTAAAGTACAGTTCTAGCAGTCATTAAAGCCGGAGCTCGGTCCTTACTCTACTTCCTTATCTATGTTACAAGACTGTCAGTGACAATTATCCTGATAAATTAGCTGAGAGACTGCACAGAGGAGTGGGCTGATGTTTCTCGGCTTCTTTGCTTTCTGTCATCTCTGTGTGATGCAGACAGTTTTCTAATTTCTCTACTGGATCCTCTGTAACTGGCTTCCACACATGGACTGCCTGGCAAAGTGCGCTGCTATTTCCAGCTTATTCATGCAGCCAGTGACTTTGTAATGTCTTGCTCTTATATATATCGTGGGCACATGCTGATAGTTGAGGTGTTCTTGTCTCTCTTGCCTTTAAGTTTTCTGAATCTCGTGCTTAGAAGAAACAGCAAAAAAAGTAATATTACTGCTTGTGTTGAAAACCAAAGTCAGGAAATTTGAGCCACAGAGAGCAAGTATTTATGTGTGTATGCAGTGTACTCGTCCTCGGTCTCTCTCTTGACTCTTATAGATAAGTACGCTCTCTCAGTATCCATGCAAATGCTTGGCAGACAGTTCAATTCCTTCTGGATGGGGGGCGGGGGGGTTGTCTCTCTCTGTCTCTCCCCCCTCTGTCTCTCTCTCTCCCCCTGTGTGTGTGTGTGTGTGTGTGTCTCTTTCCCTCTCTCTCTCTTTCCTCGCTGGCAGCAGCGTCTGTGCTGTTGGCAGGAGTGACCAGAATAAAAACAGCAACACCAGACATAGAGGAGGAAAAAAGCAAAGTGATCCATTGAACAAGAGTCTTTGCCCTCTCTTAATTACATTGAGTCTCATATCTTTTCCCCTTTTTCACATTTTTTCCCCCACTCTTTAAGACTTTGGGCTTGTGGTAATTAGGTAGAAGAGAATAAAACCAGCTGATCGGGAGAGGGGTGGTGCATTTTGGAGCGAGATGGCTAACAGAAACATTCTGTTGCTCTTCTGTGGACTCTTCCTCTTAGCACTGATTCAGCCCTCTCTTCAAGGAGGTAAGTGTGTGCTACAGGTGAGCTTAACCAAGATCTTTGCTGCATCAATCACAGACTTAAAACAGGTGCATTTTTTTAGACCTTAAACTGAACATCTAGTTATTAAAACTATCAAGAAGTACTTATTGTAATTGAAACATTATATATAATATATGAACCATGTATTATCTACCTGTTGCAGTGTACCTTAGAGTAGATTTATATGCAAGTGAGTGCTAACTTTGATTGTTTCTTCTGATGTTAATCCCAGTTTTAACTTTAAAAAGACAGTTCTGCAATTGCATTGCTTTGTTTTTGTGGTAAGGTTACTTAAATAGATTAATAATATAAAGCCCCCCATTCTACAGTCATGAATATTAAATTGTCTAGTGTTGCAACACTTATTGAATCCCTGAATAGTGCTTTTTCATCACACTGCTGTTAAAGAAAACACTATAATAAATAGAAAGGAAGTTTTTTTGCAACATATTTAGATACAAGTTAGAGGTGAAGTTCAGCACTGTCCAGAGCGTAACTTGATATTTTTGTGCATCATAACTTTATAATAATACTGCTTTGTCATATCATTAGTGTGTGTGTGTGTGTGAAATCTACATTTAAGTTCTAAATTAAGCAACCATCCATTTTTGTGGTCCTCTATATTAGGAATGTATTTGTAATGTATTTCAGACAGAAATCCTGCATACGCATCTATGCATACATAGTTTATGTTTACATGGCTGCAGACCCTATCGTGTAACATGTCAGGAAGAGAAGGTTCCAGCTGGTCCCTCTTTCCACTTAACAAAACCACATAGTTTAAATTCACCCCCGATGAACTCCCCGGTGGACAGTCAGTGTACACACAAGTTTCACCTTTACAGCTTTGACCGGGTCTTCTCTTGGAGAGGACTGTTCTGCCCAGAAACCATGAAGCAGCAACGTGCATGATATGAGGGATTAGCCTCAAGTGCAGTTTAAGAGAGAGAAGTTTTGAACATGCCTCCCACTCTCATTCAACCTTTCAGTTTGCTTTCTGCATTGCTTTGATTTGGTTCTTGGTCTGTGTTTTGGCTGAAATTCTCTGAGTTATTCAGCCTCCAACTGGAAAACATGTTTAGCATCTGGGGCTGGGTATGCTGGAGTCAAGTAATTTTTTTGTTGTTGTATTTATTTGCTTAAAAGTCCCAGTTGTTTATGTTCCTTATCTCCCAGTGTCCCTTCAGATGCATTATGTCTAGATTTTTAAACTTCTAAAAGAAATATTTTGTCCATATAAAGTCTCATTTGTCCTAGCAGTTGTGTTATTCTCTTCTAATTCAAACATGTTGACTAAGACGAAGTAGATCGCATCATTAAAAAATGTATTTGCCCTTCTTCTCTCTGTTTTAAAGCACATTCATCCTTTCTTTCTTTGCGCCAGCCACATTTCATTTGAGATTTTGAGGTGCATTCAGGCAAAATATATAACAGGTAAAGTAGCCAACACATATCAGTATTGGCTTAGCAGCATAACTTTGATCTCAAGTGAGTTTTGAAGGTATCTATATTAAACCTTTCTGCGGCGCTCAAACTAGTTCCATCTGTGTCTGTGCACTTGGAAAAACACACTCAGCATGATCCGAGGGTCAATTATCTGTGTAACATGAACCTCATTAACACCCAATCCACTCATTTAATGCCTCTGCACAGAAAACACGTCTTACGCTTGCGAAATTCACCCCTTGAATTGTGATGGAGTGCAAGGCCTGCCTGAATATTTTCCATCGACAAGTGTAAATGAGTTACGGTCCTGGAGGAAACATCTGGGAAGGAGTTTGTTAATAAATATGCCCCCTGCCTGTCATGTTACCCTATGACCTTGTGCAGGTAGCGTGGTATATTTGTTGGTTCTCCCTCGTGCAATGGAAGAGGCAGACTTATTTCACATTCTACAAACAAACAACATCTGTCACATGGATACAGGGAGTTGGATGTTATTCTTATCCAAATAAATTTGTTTTGACGCAGCTTGGGCTCAGTGACCTTATTTCATTGCTACATTTGATAAGTGAATCAAACGCAGGCCTAGATGGTTCATTAAATTTTCTCACTACATTCCTCAATTTAGAAATGTGAATGGACATCTCCTGAGGTGCAAATGACACCAAATTATGCTTTTTATTATTTACCTTTACATTTGAAATACCTAGTCTATCAGTTCCCCCCTTGTATTTCTGTTTCTTAGCTTGACATATGTCGTAATTCACTGGTGGACCTTTGCCAAAGTCTTTAGTTTGGCTTTTTGAGGACACAATTAATAGCACAATTCCAGTCCAGAGGAAGAAGAAGAGGGAAAAACAGCTGCTCTGTTCTTTCACAGTCTCCAAAGAATTGAAGAGGTTGTGTGGTGTTTTTTTTAGTAGTGCTGGAAGCCAGTTTGCCTGATTTGGCATTGCCCAGATTCAGCCCTGAGACTTCAGAGGAATTTAATACATTAATCAGTGACACCGGCCTGGCTGTAGGTAAAGTTAAACAAAATAAATGCAGACTGGATGGCATGCCACTAGTGATGAATTGTAGCACTATCCCAGCATTGCTGGTAGATACCCAAACTGATTGTCCTGATTCCCCCAAGCAAGTGGTGCTTCAGGCTTTATTGGTAGCGTGTGTTATGGACACCTCTCTGGCTCTAATCCCTCTTCTGGCAAGGTTGAGTGCCAACCACAGCATAAGGTATTAATGTGACACATGGGCATCCCAGTGCGCAACAACTTACACTGCAATCAAAGAAATAGACCATTCGAAGTCCCATCTGAGTACGATACAGAGGTTTTTCTTCAGTGAGGTTTTAGTTCAATTTCTTCATCTTCTTTAATGCTGGAGCCACAAAGAAATTTTAATTTGTTGATGTTGAGTGGCTTGGTGTAATTTACAGTGAGGTGATCTCATTCAGTACTCATTTGGAAAGGGGTCTTTTGGTTACAAGCACTGACTGACCCAGGTTTACTGCCTGCAACCTCCGTGCGTTCACGCTAAGGGCCGATCAGACAGAGATGCAGATCGCTGAAGGCACGGCTGCTTCAAAAACGCCTTGGCAAAGTGCGCTGGGCAAAACAGCTGATGCACCTGTGGAGCAGGGCTGCTTGCACAACATCAAATGATGATTAATGGAAAATAATGGATTCAAGCAGATGTTGAGCTCTTGCAGTTTTTCTCTCTCAAAGACAAGTAACCTACATGAAATTATCACAACATGAGATATGAATTCCCCCCGTTTCCCTGTCACATCTACCGGCATCAAAACAGCAAAGATGAGGTAAAAAGCCAGTCTCTCATTTAATTTAATTGGCTGCCTGGGCCAAGTGTGACGCTGACGACTTGCTGCACTAGAGAAAACAATGCTGGGGACATATTTGTAGCTATGCATCTCAGTGTGATTGAGAGTGTTACGAAATTGGACAATTCCATCCATTGTTTGCTGTTTTACACTAAAGCATGTTGCCTGGAAAGTCACTCTCTGCATCCAAGCTCCTTGCCAAAAGCAATTAGATTTTGGCACAGGTTTCTTATGACCATTTTTACTGTAACTACTGTTAAGAGGGTTGTAGGGATCAGACCAGAGGTTTGGGATGGATGGTTTTAATACACATAATTCTAAAGGACTGCGCTGCAAACGTCTAGGGTACAATTCCTTAACACTATACATATCATTTTTTAGTAATAGTAGTCTTACCTTTGTAAACCTGATGGATTGTTTAATGTCATCAAATTCCTTCCTGCTTATTTGTGATCCAACATGTTCATGACTCAGAGGCCTTTACGTACATATATACAGCATGTGCACAGTTACTCTGAGGATCTTCACATACCAGTTAATAATTTGTTCGGCTCATGCTCTTACTTTCTTTGGTTGTGGATAAATGTCAGTCCTAGCATCTCCCAGAGAGATGTTTGGTCTGCAATCAACCGTTGCCAAGTCTTTAACAAAGAAGCACATTAACTCAGATGATTCATTCCAGCCACTCTGCAAGCAGCCCTCACCAGACTGTGAGTTGCTGGGAGCGGTCTCACTGGGCCAGCAATCTGAAATGGCTCCTGTCAGGAATGTTTTCATCTTGACCCACAACTGCCTACTGATCCAAGCTCTTCTAGGTTTACAAACAACAGGACAGCATTAGCACAACATTAGTATAAAAAATGTTGTTTTAATAAAAATCCATAACTGATGATGAACTGATGAGAAGGGATGGTAATAAAATTGAAAATGAAATTCTGCTTAAACACATTACGTCAATATAATCAAAAGCCTCTGGATGAAAACATTGTACGCTGTGTTGTATTAGTTTCAGTGCACTTTGTTGGAGAGAGTGGGGGTAAACGTGGCACCTTTAGGCCTTTGGCATCAATAAGTTGGTCTAAACACAAACCGCATTTCTGTCTTGTTGGGTTTGAGCAAAACACAACTACTGGAGAACAGGTCCAGTTCCTACTTACACTAAATAAAATGTGTGCACAGTGGACTGATCGTGAAGATTTTGTTTTCTTCCACAAATTTATAGATTTTATACTCTCCTTATTCAGCTTTGTAAACTGCTTTTGTCGTTGGAAATGTCAATATCTCGTTCATAAAGCTGATTGATGATTCAGTCGTGTTCTTTCTTACAAATCAGAGGCTGAGCTACAATATTTCAGGGAGCTAATTTAAAAACATAATTTCAAAAACAACATATTTCTGTAATTTTTAAGTATTGCATTGGTTAATTCTATATATAATGTTGAAGGAGCTTTAGAGAAAAAAATTAACCTTTTATTTGGTCTGACATTTGATGGATGTTTTATATAATTGCATGCGATACATTGTATAAATGTAGCCCCTTTATGGTCCTTTTGACATTTCTACTGTATGATACAACCACATAAATTATTTTCTGGAATGGAGTCATAATTTGAACTGTTTGTTCCAGTAGCTCTTTGTGATTTCACATAGCCGATGGTCATCTTCAACCATGACTCATTACTTCAGCTTTGAAATACTTTTT